GGCAGAAAGATATTCTATTATAGGCATGAGTGGGGACTCCCCCCAAAAATGGAATTATTGTTTGGAGGGCAGGCCCCTCGTAGTGCAGGCTTCACCCACTAGGTGAGTGTTCTAGGAACTCACTGGCATCAGTGTATCAGGTAGCGTTGTTGTGAGAGGTTGCATTCAGCTTCAGTGAATTTTTTTTGAGATTCTTCAATGCGTCTGACCATTTCATGATGGCTAATTTATGAGTGCACCTGCCTATACCATCCTGAGTGTTCAGCAGTTTTTGACCAAAAACAGCATGACCCTTGTGCCCACCCCCTCATTCACCCTATCTTGCCCAAAGTGACCCTTTTATGTTTCTCCAGACGAAAAAAGTCTTCAAAGGGAAATGTTTTGCCAATGTAGAAGAGGTAAAACAAAAAAACAGCAGAAGTACTTCTTAAAAGGCATCAAAATTGACAAGTTCGAAAATTCTTGGGCAGTGAAAAAAAACATCTCAATGGGTGTACTGGCATCAAATGGAGAGCAATTTGAAGGTAACTGAAGTTTAGACGTGTAAAAATAAATATACAATTTTTATGAATAAATTCTAGCTTTTTGGGAGGTCCTCCCTTGTATATACCACATTTCATCTATTCATTCACCAAAGAAAGATGCTTGGGTTGTTTCTACCTTTGGGCTATTGTGAATAATGTTGCTATGAACATTTCATTGCTTTTATTCAACATTAAGATTCTATGCTGAATAGAAACAGTGAAAATGGGCATCCTTTTCCTGGATGTTAAGGAGAAAGCTCCTAGTATTTTCCCTATAGAGAATGCTCTAGGCTTTTTGGCGCATTTCCTTTATCAGTTAAAGAAAAAAAAAATCCCAAATCTTTCTAACCATATCCCCTTGAACTCATGGTCCATCCTCTATAAAACCCACATTCTTAATCTTTTCTCTAAGTGTTCTTTCTTTTCTTATAAACCTTGTAACACATAAGTCTGGAGGTAGGTTGGTATAGTTCTTGCTCCTTGCTCTTTACAATCTATTTCAGCTCAATCATCCCAGTTTCCTTCCTAAAATCCTCCAGCTTCTATTAAGTTCGAGGCACTAGTTCAGTGCTGTCCAATAGGATTTTGTGTGGTGACAGAAATCTACGTCTGGCTATCCAGTACAATAGCCACGAGTATGGCAGAAGAACTGAATTTTTAATTTTACTTACTTTTAATTATTCAAATCAATAGCCACATATGGCTAGTGGCTAGCATATTAGACAAGAGAGCACTAGATCGTAATACTTATGTTACTGTCATTTATAGACTGACAAATCATTTGTCTCCTATATCTTGAAGATTTTAATAGTTGGAGAAAAATAGCCCATGAACCAATATTAATCTTATGATAATCTTGGTGATTGTCATGTCCATGGAGGTAATAATGCCAATACCCTGGTTTCTCCGTTTTTTACTTCTCCTCCTCCAATGATCTTATCTTCTACCATTCTCAGTTTCCACTCCCTTGCTCACTCTGAATTCAGTACTCATTGACTTCTAACCCAGTGGCCATCCCACCTTTTCACTGTTTGTCATCTCCCTCCTTTCACTTGACTTAGTTTCCTCATCTATCAATAAAACAACTCTTACACGTTCACTCTTTCATTCCTAGTGCTACCCATGACCTCTCTGGTACAAACAAGCCTAGAAAACTCCCAAGTTTCAACACAATTCTTGGCACTACTGCAATCTTATGTCGAGCACCTGAACCTGGCAGGAGAATACATAACTTTGCTGGCTGACTGGTTTCACTTTAAATTTAAATTAAATTGAAATTTCACAAAAAATCCTTCACAAAGCTTGTGAAACTTATTATGTTTGCCTAGTTAATGCACTATCACATTCTCCTAAATGACTTTTACATCCTTTCCTCTTTCTTTAAACCTCCAACACCTTTCCCTCATCTCTCAACTAAGAACTTGCTTTTTTATGTCTGTAAAGAACAAAGCAATCTGAAGAACTTCCACAGAATCCTCCCACTAAATCGACCAACTTACCTGCATCTTCAACCAAACAAATTTCCTTCCCTCCTGCTAAAATGGATAAACTGTCCCTGCTGCACTAGAGTACTAATCTAACTCTCTTTCATCCAATCAAGAATTTCATTGGTAGAACACTTGTTCTCTCACCATTTTCCCCATTCTACTACACCACTGCCACCAGCATGAACACACTGTTACAGAGGACATCTCCTAAAACAAAATGCAACACGGCAAATCTTTGGCCTCACATTCCCTTCCAACTATTGCCAGATTTCTCTGCGCTACCCCCACTGCAGTCCTTTGCCACAAAATTCCTCAAAAGCATGCTCTACGCTTGCTGCCCCACTTCTTCACCACCATTCTCTTAACTCCAGTCACTTTTCTCCCAACCACTGGACTGGTCATTCTTGCCCAGGTCCCCAACCCTCTCCAGTTGCCAGGTTATCTCAAGACTAGCACCTTACTTAACTTATTAGCAGCATTTGGCAAGGGTGATCAATCTTTAACACTTTCTTTACCTGATGGCGGAAAATTATGTCCTACTCGTGATTTTCTTTCTCAGTTCTCCCTCCCCATTTTTCCAATCTCTAAATCTTGGAAAGTCCCAGGACTTTTCATCTGTGCTCACTCCTTAGGTGATCCCATCTAGCTTTAAATATGCTGATGCTCACAAAAATACCTCTCTAGTCCCAGCCACTCCCTTAAGCCTGTGTCTCTCACTGCTGTTTATCAGCCAACTCGAACATAGTATGTGTACAATAGAAGCCCCACGTCATGGTGGTCTTTCTCTATACCTCTCTGAATATGAGAAAACCACATCTCAATTATCTGATCACACCATCTCTTTGAACGCATCTCCTTTCACCCACTATCTCCCTAGCTTATTTCACTTCACCAACACTGACCATCCTATTCTTTGAACACATCTCAACCTGCGTATTGGCTATTACCTCTACTTTAAATTCTTTTCTTCCAGATATCCACATAAATGGTTCCCTCAATTTCTCTAGGTCTCTACTCAAAGGTCACTTATCAGAGATTCTCTTACCACATTATATAAAACTGTACTGCTCTGCTTTCCTTTCTGTCACATTTATTTTTCTTCAGAGCATCTATCACTATTTATGATATTTCATTCATTTATTTACAATTTCTTTTTCCAGTAGAATGTTACCTGTATGAGAATAGAACTTTTTCTACACCATTCACTATTGTATGTTAAACAATTAGACAATGCCTGGCACTTAAATATCCTATGAAATAGTTTAAAATTTAATACAAACACTCCAAGTTTTATTCAGGTAAATAATAGGGCTGTTACCAAATAAATTTTTTTTTGTATTTTATTTGTTTGTATTAAATATTTTATGAAGGTCAGGCACAGTGGCTCAAGTCTGTAATCCCAGCACTTTGGGAGGCCAAGGCGAGAGGACTGCCTGAGCTCAGGGGTTCGAGACCGGCCTGGGCAACTTGGTGAGACCTTGTCACTAAAATAAATTCAAAAAATAAGCCGGGCATGGTAGCACGAGCTCGTAGTTCCAGCTACTTGGAAGGCTAAGGCAGAAGGATCACCTGAGCCCAGCAGGTTGAGGCTGCGGTGGCCATGAGCTTTCCACTGCACTTCAGCCTGGGCAATAGAGTGAGATTTCAAGTCAAAACAAAACAAAACAAAACAAAATAAATATTTTATGAAACAGCTTAAAATTTTAAAATTTAATACAAACACCCAAAGTTTCATTCAGGTAATAATGGATCTGTTACCAAATAAAAATTATGTTTTCCATACAAATACATGAGAGAGACAATGAAAATATCTTCAAGGAAAATAAAATTTAACTTGAGAGAAATGTATCTTACTTGTAAGCCACAGTATAAATCAGAGTATAATTCTTTCCCTAAAACTTTAAAGATGGAATTCATAACTGTATATTTATAATCATTTCCATTCCTCCATGAAATAGAAATTTTAAGAAAAGAGAATAAGGCCATCATTATTAAAAGGAATTTTTAAAGTAAGAAAACCCTTCACCCAGGTGTTTCTTTAATACAAATGAAATATAAAAAGGATCATAAGCTTTTCCACATTAATGTTTTCCAATATAGAAATCTATGTTGGTTTTCATGAGAAACATCTGTCTCTTCAGATATTATAAAAAGCAATCATAGTACTTGGTTAATTAAAAATAAAATTATAGTTAAGTAATGAAAAAAAAAGTTTTAAAAAGTCTCTCATGTTTTCAGCAAGAGCCTTAAAAATACATTCATCCTTTGTACAAAATGTAATAGACTCCAAACAAAATCACTGTTCTTTAACATGAAAGAACAGTATTGAATGTAAATAAATTTAATTGACTATAACATTTTACTTATATAAAACCTAAATGAAGAATACATGGAAAGACTGAGTCCAATATCATGTCACTCAAATATGAAACTGCACACCACACATTTGCAGAGGTCAAAATTCATATCATAACATAACAATATCAGAATGTGCAGCAAGATCAAACAATTCCACGTTAACCCTCAGATTTTCCACTATTTCTAAGAAAAAAACTTAAAGTTTACTGACTAAAAAATAATGGAAATTGAAATCAGTAATTTTTTTAAACCTACAATTTAGATACTCCTCAAACTCCAAAAGCATTATCTTTACATGATTAAAAGCAACTTAATTTTTTTGCATTCATACCTTCCCATTAGCTGAATATGAAATACAATGTTGTCAAAGATGCTTAAAGTGGTTCTACAAAAATGATTCCTGAAGAGCAGAAACCAAGCATCAAAGTGCAATCTACCCAAAAATTACTTTGCAAAACTAGTGGAATGCTTACGGAGAGAAAATGTAGGTTTCAAAGAACACAGTACAAAGAAATTTAAAAATCCTTCTATTATCATAATATTAATGTTAGTAAGAACTATAAAAGAAGCAAACACATCTTTATTTCCTAGAGGAAATCTAACCTTTCATTAATTAAGGACAATTACTCACCGCCCATGTTTTAGTCAATCTGAAAATTGGGGCACTCTGTAAGCCAGAAACCACTGCCATCAGTGCATGAAGGTTATTCAGCTCATACAGTTTCTGAAGATTTAAGAAAATGGAAGAGAGGATGAAAAATAAATAACATGAATATAAGAAAAATTTAGTTTAACAAGTACAACCCAAGCAAGTGGTAGTGTTCCAGTATTTTTTTTTTTTTTACTCTCATTGCTGAGATTTGTCTTTAGAGTACCCACTATGATTAGGGTAAATTATTTTGGCACATAATACAACTTCCATATTCTACCTTGGCGCTGACCACAAGCTCGAGAAATAAATTTACCTTCAGCTGGGTAATAAAACTAAGAAACTCAAAGTTATGGTTCAGTCTCAAATTGACCTGATATGATAATATATCTGGTTTCTGATAAGCATTCTCCTTCCTTACACTGAAATATCATTAAGCCTCTGCTTTAAGTTCCAAGTTTCAAGAAAGGGTCTTTACCCAAGATCCTAACCTGATTTCCTATCCAAGACTCCCATTATTTTAGGGTTAGGGTTCAAACTTGCTTTACATGGTCCTCCTAAATTTTGCTTCCTCTTGCCCAAATTCCCAGACCTTTCGTTCCTCATTCATGCTTGTTTCTACAGTCCACATAAATCTCCTACCTAGGACTAGGTTCCAGCAATTTGCCAAGAGATCTACTTGACATTTATTGTTAATTTCTCAGATTTTTTCATACTACCTGATGTTCATATCCCAAAAGTCCTGTCTAAAAATCAGTCATTTTAGAATTTTCAGGAATTCTACCAGGAATTTTCAGGTCTAGAAAAGGCTGTGGGTGGGGCATTTCAGTGAAAACCCAAAGAAAACAAAAAGAAAATAAATTAACACACAGAAAACAGGATACAAACCTTCACACAAAATTATAATATAAAAATCTAGTTGAGAAACGTATTTATTACAGAACAGGTACCATGTTAGAGTATGTACAAACAAAAATGCAAAAGACCTATCAAGAAGTTTCAGTTTAATAAGACAGATATGAAAACAAATACAAAACTAATCTGCATATTTCTGGAAAAAAACTAAATATGGGTTCTATAAAAATACACAAGAATCAGTCCCTAACTGTCTGAGAGACTCAGATTTCCAGAGTAAGACATTGTGGGGTGTGGGAAAAGGTGGTTATGAGAAAGAGGGATTACAATATGCAAAAAGCACAAAGGTATGAAGATGACCAGAAGATGAGTTGCATGTGGAGAGCAATAGGACACGAAAACAGAATGGGCTATTTGTACATGTGAAGTTAAAGAGGTTATACTTGCTCACATGAGAGGCATAAACTCCAGTGCAGAATGTTACATTTTTAAGAATGACATAAGGAAATGCCAGGCATCCATTCACAACCCATTATCTGCAATTCTGAAATCCAAAAACTCTGAAAAGTGAAACTCTGTTTTTCTGGTAAATGTGGCCTCCAATTAACTTGGTGGGAAAACCTGACCTGATGTGAGGCTTATGTTAGACTTCATTTATCTCACTTAGGATGAATGATGACACGTTTTGTCCAAAAATAATGTATTTGATTCCAAGGTATTACCTCTGGGGGAGTGGGGGGAGTGTGAGGAGTATGTTAAATATGGTATATGAACTGCACCACCTTTCTTCTTTTTTTTTTTTGAGTTGAAGTCTCACTCTGTCGCCCAGACTGGAGTCCAGTGGCCGCTCCTGGCCACCACAGCCTTGACCTGCTGGGCTCCAGCGATCCTTCTGCCTCAGCCTTCCAAGTGTCTGGAACTACAGGTGCGCGCTACCATGCCTGGCTAATTTTTTGATTTATTGTAGAGATGAGGTCTCGCCAAGTTGCCCAGGCAGGTCTCGAACCCGCGGCTCAGGCAATCCACTCACCTCAGTCTCCCAAAGGCGCGGGATTACAGGCTGAGCCACTGAGCCCGGCTCCTGTACCACCTTTCTAAAATGGGGGTGGGAAAGAGGGTATTACTAAATATATCTGGCCTCAAAGGTTTTGGATAAAGTACTATGGATTGTATTAGAAAGATCAGGGAGCTGAAGGTGACAATCAGGAAAAGAATCAGTTCAGAGACTGTTTTAGTAGTCCTGGTAAGAGATGGTGAGGAGGACCTGAAACATACCAGTGTTAGTGGAGTTGGAGCCAAGGGATGGATTCAAAATGTAGTGAGGGCATCATACCCAAAGCATGGTGAATTAGACAACCTGAACTACTCTTCTAATGAAAATAAATAAAATACTGGGTAAGATCTAAAATGCATCTTATGAAAATGTACTGTTAAGCTGACAATAAAGTAAGGAATACTCAGCCCTAAAACTAAGAAAGAATCCAGAGACACAAGCTGGCAATCACTTGGAGGACACATGCAAACCTGGTTAGCTTTCCAAGTCTCATGTGATACACTGCCCAAGGACTATCTATGGTTGAGTGGGGAGAAGGGGGGTGGTCGTGGGGGGGAGGTCCAATAAGGGACCCTCACCACATAAAGTAGAGACACTAAACGACTACAGCCTCAGTACAAGGGCAAGATAGACGTAACCCTCACCTAACATCAAGAAATTGCAAGGCAAAAATGTCTGTTTTGAAACAGAGCTAAGGGATGGAGAGAGGGGTCTCATGGAAATCTGGAAGCCAAGTAAATACTACTTCATAGCAAAATAATCAAGGACAACAACCATAGCCTTGAGCTGGACTAGTAGCTTTGGGTTAAGATACAGAACAACATGAGGGCCCATTGTTCTAGCCATAGCAGCAAGAAAACAAAATAAACTAGAAAAAAAAAATTGTTAAAGACCCTGGAGAGTTGTGAACACGTGAACACAAGAACACAAACAACTAAATATCACGGTAAGAACAGCCTTTGGCAGTTTTTTTCACCCAGGGGGCATCTGCCGAATCTCTATAAGTGTAGGCAAACGGTTAGGCCTCCAATAGGCAGATTTTGCTGGAGTAGGAGAAACCAGTAGTTTTACAACCTTATGGACAGGCATAATAGACTAGACTCTGCCAGAGTCTCAAACCTAAAGCTGACTCTTGTGCCCACTGATTCTCTCTTATGGAATTTTTTCTGAATGTAGGTCAGTGAAGGAGGCTGAGGATGGGGCTGGAGAGAAAAGAGAAATCTCTGGGACTTAGATCCTAGAGTTCTGCTAGAGGAAGGGATCTGTACTATACATAATACAGATTTTGCCCTGAGTCATTTATAACTAGAGGTGACCTGAAACTAACTAAAGCTGAAACTCAGCCCCACCATCCTCAATTCCTAATTGGATCACAATAATTAGCTCCTCATCCTTGTTCTCGCACAGGTTGGGTTTACCCACTCTGGAGGAGGAAAATATTTACTCCAGTCTCTGCAGTTCTTTTAAATACAATATTTAAAGGTAGAAAAGTCAGAAAGAAAGAAGACTGCCTTTATTTTCAGATGTCATGATTATGTAGCACCAAGCAATCAGAAAGTGAGATTTAAAAATGTACAATAACATCAAAACATGGTTATCCAGAAATAAAGATATGCAAAACTGCTTCACTGAAAATAAAGCACTGCTGAGAGAAATGAAGAAAACTTAAATAATCAAAGATATGCCATACTTGTGGATTGGAAGTCTTTGATAGGATATCAGCTCCTCCCCAAATAATCTATAAAGTAAACCTCAATCAAAATACAAGCAGATCATTTTGTAGAAACTGACCAGTTAATTTCTGTGGGTATACAAAGGGGATAGCACAGCAAGACAATCTTGAAAAAGAAAAGCAAAGTTAGAAAACTACCAGATTTCAAGGTTTATTATAAAGCTACAATAATTCAGACAATAAGATACTGGAAGAAGAAGAGACCAATAGGACAGAAATATACCTATATGTATTTGATTGAGTAATTTTCAACCAAAATATCAAAGCACTTAAATAGAAAAAGGAATGAGGTTAGAACAACTAGATAGTCCTGTGGGGAAACAAAATGAAGCTTGACTTCTACACCTCACACTACACACAGAAACTATTTCAAGATGGATCATTTTCAAGCTATACAACTTCTAGAAGTGATCAAAAGAAAAATGTCTTCATGGCCCGGATTACACAAGAATTTCTTAAATAAGATACAAAACCACAAACCACAAAAATAAACTTAAAGAGCAAACTGGACTTTAAAGTAAACAACTCTGTTCACTTACCAAAAGTCAGCATTAAGACAATATGAAGGTAAGCCATAGGCTGGGAGAAAATACAATATACGTTTCTGAAAAGGTATGTATCAAGAATAGATATAAAACTACAAACCAATAAGGCAAACAACTCTATTAAAACTTATGGCAAAAGATTTGAAATGCCACAAAACAAGATATCCAAATGGTCCACATGCACATGAAAAGATAATCATCACTATCAACTGGGAAATACAAATTAAAACCACAATAAGATGCTACTACATGCTCAAAAGAAAGGCTAAAATTAAAAAATTAAAGACATCAAGTACTGGTAAGAAATGTGGAGTCATTGGAACACTCTTACTGTTGGCTGAAATTTAAAATGGTAAAACCATGTTGGAAAACTATTTGGCAGTTTCTCATAAAGTTAAAACATATGCCTACTCAATGACCCAGCAAGTCCATCGCTCCTAGGAATAAAACCAAAAAAAATGAATACACATTCCACAAAAATGTTAATTCATAAAAACCAAAAACTCAAATGTCCAAGAAAATTGTGGAATATCCATACACTGGAAATCCACCCAGCAATAAAAGAATGGACTCTGGATAACATGGATGAATCTCAAAAACATGACGTTGAGCAAAACAAGCCAACCACAAGAGAGTGCATTCTGCATGATCACACTGATGTAAATTTCAAGAGCAGCCTTCATCTCTATAGGACTGTGGCAGTGGGGTGTGTTGGTGGGACAGGATGAGGGAAGTATTGCTTAGTAAAGTGCCTGAAGGCATTTTGTGAGGTGATGGAAATATTCCTTATCTTGATTTGGGTAGTGGTTAGAAGAGTGTATAAATAGATTATACTTGACATTTTTAATGTGAACAAGTCACAAGGCTTTAAGAAAAAGAAAGGAGGAGG